GATAGATAGATAGATAGATAGATAGATAGATAGATAGATAGATAGATAGATAGATAGATATAGAGGGGAGAGAGAGGGGGGGAGGGCTGGTGCCTTTGGCTTCGTACTCTTTGCTGGCGCAAGCACGAGGCACCAGCCTGAAGATAGCGAGTGGGACCTCATCGAAACGTCGCCAAGATACTCTCAATCTTACATGGGAAAAGACCTGAATACGCCAAGACCTGCATACCTGTACCCATGAAAATCTACGAAAACATACACACACACACATATACACATGTCATAATGTTTTACCAGTAAATGACTTTTTCTGTTTTAATTGCAATAATATGTGCGCTAACAAGCGCTCTAAACCCAATGTTCGTTCTAAACATGACTGTAAAAATATGATTTCTATAATAGAGTTGTCAAAGTGTGGAATGCCCTACCTGATTCAGTTGTCTCAGCTACAAATTTTCAGTTTCAGTTGCAAATTGACTTCCATGGACCTTACTTCATACTTAAGTGGTCAGGAGAGGGGGGCGTGCATAAGTGCACTAACGTGCCGATCGTCCCTGACACTGTATTTTTATTTCTTTTATTTTTCTTCTCGTTTTTGTTTGACAAATTCCAATAAATTAATTAATGAATTAAATTAAATTTAAAAAGGAGAGAATGAAAGAAAGAAAGAAAGAAAGAAAGAAAGAAAGAAAGAAAGAAAGAAAGAAAGAAAGAAAGGTCGATGCCCCCCAAATAAAGCCCATCTCTCTGCATTTTAAAAATGAAGCTTTGAAAAGAATAAAACTTCGATTCTGTTTTTTACAGATTTGATTGATAAGATTCTTGTAGAAATGACTGGTTAATACTATTAGGGCAAAACAAAAAAGTGTGATTGTCGTTAACGCCCTATTCTACTGTATAGATAAGTCGAGAGTCAATGCTTCTTTTTCTTCCCCTACCCCTTCTCACTTTTCTCTGCTCTTTCCCTCTCCTTATCCCTGCCCTTTTATTTGCTTTCATATTTTGTATTTTATAACACTTTATAACCTAATAAAACCCATTCAGAATGAGAAATGGCTGAGTTCATGCAGAAAAATAGTTCTCGACCTTCTTGAGATAGATGTGACAAGGGAATGGGACCAGGGGTGGGATTATTACTACCCCCTCTTATTGGTATCATTATTAGAATCATTATTACTCTCTTGCTTGCATGTACACTGAGAGAATTTGAGCCGGAGACAAATTTCTTGTGTGCTAAATCAAACTCACCCAATAAGGTATTCTATTTTATTTTGACCCATTTTCGAAGTTCTACCAGCCATGTCCACATACCTCTGCATATGCTGCCTTGATGGACTGTCTCACAAAGATTGCATTTTCGCATCTCATTAAACCAAGCTGAATTTCAGCACTTGGCACCGAATTATAAACCCCCAATTGGCTGAATGTACTCCTTGTGTTGTGCCATAAACATGGTATACACAAAGTGCAACAATTACAATTAGCACATCGCAATTATGCCAGTACCAACAAAACCACGAGGCTAAGCTAAATGCAGCCCCTTGCCAGCAAACTGGCCCATCAAATCAAGCCTTCAAGATTTGGAAATCATCAAAATTACTCATATGTAATTTAGGATGACAGGGATTGAACCTGTGAGACTCTTTAAACAAGCCACATCCTGAAAACTGACCTGTGGGCTGTAGTCCTTCAAAAGGAAGTGTTGCCTTCAAATGACCTGGTATTTCGTTTCATTCAAGAGTTGCTATCAAACCACATGGCCATACCACAAATCGCCTTTTATTGTGTTTTCCATCAACCAGAGAAGAAACAGATCAAAACAGCAGATAAATTGTCCTCACTTCTCAAAAAAAGACCCGAAACCAAAAAAAACCCAACCCTCTATGTAAGGCTGTCACCCTGGTATGTGAGAATATTTCACTTTTATGTCGTGTTTCAATCCACAAACAGGAATTCCAAGCATTCCCC